TTTGTGGTGGTGTTCATTGATGATATTCTGATTTATTCGAAGAGCGATGAAGAGCATGCAGAACATCTCAGAGTTGTGTTGGAATTGTTGAAAGAGAAGAAGCTTTATGTGAAGTTGTCCAAGTGTGAATTCTGGTTAAGTGAAATAAGTTTTCTTGGCCATGTAATTTCCAAGAATGGAATTGTTGTGGATCCTACGAAGGTAGAAGCAGTATCTCAATGGGAAGCGCCGAAGAATGCTTCTGAGATCCGTAGTTTTCTGGGTCTTGCAGGTTATTACAGGAAGTTTATAGAAGGATTTTCCAAATTAGCGTTACCGTTGACTAAGTGGACCAAGAAGGGTCAGATGTTTGTTTGAGATGTTGAATGTGAGAAAGGATTTCAAGAGCTGAAGAGGAGGTTGACAAGTGCTCCGATCTTGATTTTGCCAAATCCGACTAAGTCTTTTGTTGTGTATTGTGATGCATCATTAATGGGATTAGGTGGTGTGTTGATGCAAGATAAGCAGGTGGTGGCTTATGCTTCGAGACAATTGAAAGTACATGAAAGGAATTATCCGACTCATGATTTGGAGTTGGCAGCTGTTGTGTTTGTTTTGAAGTTGTGGAGGCATTATTTATATGGTTCTCAGTTTGAAGTGTTCAGTGATCACAAAAGTCTGAGGTATCTCTTTGATCAGAAAGAGTTGAATATGAGGCAGAGGAGATGGTTAGAATTTCTAAAGGATTATGATTTCTGTTTTAATTACCATCCTGGTAAGGCAAACGTTGTTGCGGATGCCTTGAATAGGAAGTCCTTGCATATGTCGATGTTAATGGTCCGTGAGTTAGATTTGGTTGAGCAGTTCAGAGATTTAAGTTTGGTATGTGAAACTACTCCGAATAGTGTGAAATTGGATATGTTGAAACTGACTAGTGGTATTCTGGAAGAAATTCGGAATGGACAGAAGTCCGATGTTGGGTTAGTTGATAAATTTACATTGATCAACCAAGGTCAAGGAGGCGAGTTCCGGATTGATGAGAATGGTGTTATGAGATTTGGTAATAGGGCGTGTGTTTCGGATGTTGCAGAGATTAGGAAGAGTATTTTGGAAGAAGGACATCGTAGTGGATTGAGTATTCATCCTGGTGCTACTAAAATGTACCATGATTTGAAGAAGTTGTTTTGGTGGCCGGGAATGAAAAAGGAAATTGCTGAGTTTGTGTATGCTTGTTTGGTTTGTCAGAAGTCGAAGATTGAGCATCAGAAACCGTCAGGATTGATGGAACCGTTGTTTGTTCCGGAATGGAAATGGGATGGAATCTCTATGGATTTTGTGTCTGGTTTGCCAAGGACATCGAAGAATTGTGATTCTATCTGGGTTATTGTTGATCGGTTGACGAAATTTGCTCACTTTATTTCGATAAGAATGGATTATCCGATGGAAAGGTTGGCAGAATTGTATGTTGAGAAGATTGTGAGTTTGCACGGTATTCCTTCTAGTATTGTGTCGGATCGAGATCCGAGGTTTACATCTAAATTCTGGACGGGATTGCAAGAAGCTTTGGGTACTAAGTTGCGTTTGAGTTCCGCTTATCATCCACAGACAGATGGTCAGACGGAGAGAACGATTCAGTCGTTGGAAGATTTGTTAAGAGGTTGTGTGTTGGAGAAAGGTGGAGCTTGGGATAGTTATCTACCATTGATTGAGTTTACCTACAACAATAGTTTTCATTCGAGCATTGGTATGGCTCCGTTTGAGGCATTGTATGGTAGGAGGTGTCGGACACCGTTGTGTTGGTATGAATCTGGAGAGAGTGTTATGATTGGACCGGAAATTGTCCAACAGACTTCGGAAAAGATTAAGATGATTCAGGAGAAGATGAGGACTTCTCAGAGTCGTCAGAAAAGTTATCACGATAAGAGGAGGAAAGATCTTGAGTTTAGCGAAGGAGAACATGTTTTTATACGAGTTACTCCGATGACTGGTATTGGTCGAGCTTTGAAGTCAAAGAAGTTGACTCCATGTTTTATTGGTCCGTTTCAGGTTACCAAGAGAGTTGGGAAAGTTGCTTATCAGATTGCTTTGCCACCATCACTTGCAAATTTGCATGATGTTTTTCATGTATCTCAGCTAAGGAAGTACATTGCTGATCCGTCTCATGAGATTCGTGTAGACGATATACAGGTACGAGAGAATTTGACTGTGGAAGCGGTACCTGCGAGAATTGAGGATCAGAAGTTGAAACAGTTGCGAGGCAAGGAGATCGCGTTGGTAAGAGTAGCTTGGGGAAGACCAGTAGATTGAAACGTCACTTGGGAGCTAGAGAGCCAGATGAAGGACTCGTATCCCGAACTGTTCGTCTAAGGTATGTTTTCGAGGACGAAAACTCTTTTATTAGGGGAGAGTTGTGACACCCCAAATTAATTCAATTGTTAAATAATTAGGAATTTAATTATTAAATTAATTAAAGGCTTAATTAATAATATTTTGGATTAAATGAAGGAATTAATTATGGAATTAAAAAGGAAGACCGGGGGTGTAAGGTTGAATTAGAGGTGTGAGAAGTAAAAGGCTCTACTAAAATAATTACTAATTTATTATTATTATTTGGCAAATAATAAAAGGAAAAGAAAAAGAAGGATAAAAAGGAAAAAGGAAAATAAGGTTTTGGGAAAAACTCATTGTACGTGAAATTGGAGAAGAGAAGAGAAGAGAGGAAAAAGCCAAACGCCGTGAATTCGAAGGATCATCGCGAGGTAAGGGGTGATTTCGATTATTTAATATGCCTTATAGATTTTGGGATCAATAGAATTGATTAAGCATGTTAGGAATCCCAATTTAGGATTTATGAAATTCAAACCCCAATCCCATGAATTTTATGTTTTGATTCAATTTGATGTTATGAGGGAATTGTATGATGTTATGGTGTGTTATAATCTCATTGGAATCATGCACTATAACTTGTTTTGACATTGCTGTGAGTTGGATTCGTATGGGTATGAATTGGATGGGATTGGAATGAGTAAATGCTGTCAAAATAACAGTTTTTGACTTTTCAGGTCGCAGGAATCGGTTCCCAGTGGGGAGGAACCGGGTTCCACTGTGTAAACTTACAAAAACTGGCATTTTTCAACGCAGGAACCGGTTCCTGTATAGGTAGGAACCGGGTTCCAGTACATTTTCCAGAAACGTAATTTTTTGAAAAATATTAAACTTTGAAAATTCATAACTTTCAAACCGTAAGTCCGATTTGAGTGCCGTTTTCGGCAGTATTTCTTAAATTAAAAATACTATCTTATAAAATAAGAAAAATATTATTTTATGAAAATTATTTTAAAAAGAGTCGAATTCCCGATTTTTGTAAACTTTGGTATTTTGAGAACGATGTAGAATTGTTTGTAAATTGTTCTGATTTGGTGAATGAGAACTGATACTTATGTGTTGTGTCTGCTATCCATTATGATTGAGATGTGATCATGTGATATATTGGTTTTGGCATTATTTGGAATTATGTTGTGATCATATTTCGTTGATTTGATGTTGACTTTCCGATTATGCGGTTTATTATTATGTGCATATTTGGTGTATATGCAATGGTGTATCCATGATAATTGATTGTATCAGGTCTTTGTGGATGAAGTGCATGTTTATGCTGTTTGATGTGTGTATGATAGATAATGATATCATGTTTCTTTTGGTTTTGGTTCAGTTATGATAAATTGATGTATTTCATAGACTGATTTGATGTTGCATGCCGGTGATGTGCATGCATATGCATTGTTTTGGTGAAGTTAATTCCCATTGTGTGGAATTTGACTTGTATTGCCGTTAACTGATACCCGAGAGATGATGGGTGGTTAGGCTGGATTCATGTCCGAGTGTGATGGACGAATCGATGATTGCTTCGGCTGGATTCATGTCCGAGTGTGATGGACGAATCGATGGTTGCTGTATCCGAGAGTGATGGATCAGTGATGGGTGACTTGGTCACGTGTTGGTACCACATGCATTGTGTCTGCATTTGTGTTTGCATGGAATTGTAACATGTTAGGATGTCTTCCAGTGTTATAATTCTTTGGTTGATTCTTGAATTGTGCATAATGACTTGTATGATTGGAACTGTGTGTTGAATCTGAGTTTATGCTAAAATGGGTGAAATAATATGCTTGTGATATAATGTTGATTGAGAAACTTATAATGCATGTTAATTATGAGAAATCTCACCCTTACTTTAATGATTTCAGATTAAAGTTAGCAGCTCAGGAGTTGGTGAGGATGGCTCTAGAGCTATGTTATTTTAGTCTGTGTGTCAGTGTCGTGCTCTGATAGGTTGTAACACTGGGGGAAACGTTTGAATGACGAGTTTTATTTTCTATTGTTTAATTTATGTTGGGAATACTTATGAAGTGAAGTTATTCCGGTTTTGAGATATTTCCGCTGTGTAGAACATGATGTTGATTTAAATATTTATAATAATAATTCCTTCAGTAAAGCATGACAACTATAAATTTGAGGTTTTATATTTATCTCGAATTGTGACATCCCTGTTTTCCATGTTACTCTGATTTAATTAATATATTCGCGGGTTATTTAGAAGGGGTGTTACATATGTCCTTCATAGCCTATTCTACACTTTTTAACAACTAACTGTACCTTGGTATCTTAATATTGATAATTCTGCGCATTATGATCCCAAGACTAGATCCTCTTCCAGTTGCCCATCCAAATGAGAAATTCTATGAGGTAGCCTATCTCAATAATCAAAATTCATAGAATAATTATAATTTACTTTCCTTTCATATGCTTATTGTGCTTGTATTTGTATTAAATCTCTTTTTGTGTAATAGGGTGATAACCAATATAGGAGTAGTGGCTAAGCTTTGGAATACAAAGAATTAAACATACATACACAGGAAGCATTTGATCAGGGGCAAGATGTTCATATTCAAGCAGCTCCGTCCCAAGCTGAATTTCTTTATAAAAATTTTAAGATCATGAAAGAGAAACTGATGTCTCAAATGAAGGAAACCACTGTGGAGAAGTATGGAAATGAAGCTGGTTGGGACCAACTTCCAAGAGAACTTTTGCTAGGTCAAAGTGAGATGCAAGTTGAGTGTGATCGTGCTGGTAAAATTATTAAGCGACAGGTGAGATAAATATTAAATCTGCATTCTCAGCTTCCTTTTGCATATCTTTATTTGTTCATGTTGAATTAAACATTAAATGTGCTAGTAATAAGTTTTACATTTAAATATGGTAGTAGGAAGGACAAAAATTTAGTAAGTTATTAAGTTATAGTAGCAGTTATGTTTTAATTTATGGTTTAAAATTGTAAAAGTTGTTTGGGTCTATAAAAGACCAAGTGTGTAATTTATTTACTAAGAGCAATATATAAAATTTTATACAGAAGTCTGATTCGTTTCTAACAATTTGGCATCAGAGCTCATGGCAAACATGATGAACCAAATGCCGTTGCCACGACTAACGAAGTCCAATTATGAAAACTGGAGTATCCAAATGAAAGCTCTTCTTGGATCTCTAGACGCGTGGGAGGTGACCCATGATGGGTTTGAAGAACCAACAGAAGTTGGGGGATTTACGGCAGCTCAAACGAAGGCGTTGAAAGAGACGCGAGCGAAGGACAAAACAACATTATACATGTTGTTCAGTGCTGTAGATGAATCAGGCTTCGAGAAGATTGCTGGTTCGAACATGTCAAAACAAGCGTGGGACACGTTAGAAAAAGTGTTCAAAGGAGCAGATTGAGTGAAGCAGGTTCGACTCCAAACTCTTCGTGGCGAATTGGAGAGGATACAGATGAAGGATACAGAAATTGTATCTGATTACATCACACGTGTGCAAAAGGTGGTGAATCAACTCACCAGAAATGGAGAGACAATAGCTGATGCAAGAGTTGTTGAAAAGATCTTGAGATCTTTAACAGACAAGTTTGAAAATATTGTGTGTGCAATAGAAGAGTCGAAGGACCTTTCGACGCTCTTAATCGAAGAGCTCACTGGTTCGCTCGAAGCACATGAACAACGAAAAATGAAAAAGAAAGAAGAAGCAGACGAAGAAGCAAACCAAACCAAGGAATCGAACAAAGACGAAAAGGTACTCTTTTCTCACAACTTTCGAGGAAGAGGACGTGGACGTGGAGGTCGTGACAATGGTCGAAGTGGTAGAGGTAGCAACTTCGAAAGAGGACATTCGAGCCAACAAAATTGGCGTGGAAGAGGACGTGGTCAAAGAGGTGGTCTTTCGAATCATTCCAATTTCGAATGCTACAAGTGTGGGAAGTATGGTCATTACGCGAAGGATTGCAACTCCTACAAATGTTACAACTGTGACAAAGTGGGACATCTTGCAAAAGACTGTCGAATCGAAAAGAAGACTGAAGAAACAACCAATCTAGTCTTGGAAGCTGAATCGAATGAAGGCTTTCTCCTGATGGCTCAAAACGAAATCAACACCAATGACAGTGTTTGGTATCTTGACTCAGGAGCAAGTAATCACATGTGTGGTTACAAACACCTGTTTAAAGATATGAAGGGAATTGAAGATGGTAGTGTATCTTTTGGAGATGCATCGAAAGTGAAGTTTGAAGGAAAGGGAACAATCAGTTACTTGCAGAAGGATGGCTTGATTGGATCAATCGAAGAAGTTTACTATGTACCAGATCTTAAGACCAACATATTAAGTCTGGGACAACTTACAGAAAAAGGTGCTTCGATACTGATGAAAGATTGAACACTGCAGTTGAAGGACAAAGCAGGATATTTGATTGCCGCTGTCGAAATGGAAAGAAATCGAATGTACAAACTGAACCTGAGGAACATTTGAGAGAAATGTTTGTAAATCGAAGTGCAAGACAAAGCGTCACTATGGCACATGCTCTTTGGTCATCTACATCATGCTGGTTTGAGAAGGTTGGAAAAAAGGAACATGGTGCATGGACTACCAGACGTGGATTTCGAAGGAAAATTCTGTGAAGAATGTGTGCTCAGCAAACAAACAAGAACCTCATTTCAAAAGAAGGCAGAGTATCAAGCTAAACATATACTCGAATTGATACATACTGATATATGTGGGCCAATCACTCCAGAATCCTTCAGTGGAAAAAGGTACTTCATTTCCTTCATTGATGACTTCTCAAGAAAAACCTGGGTCTACTTCCTGAAAGAAAAGTCTGAAGCATTGGAAGTGTTCAAAAAGTTCAAAGTAATGGTGGAGAAGGCAACAGACAGACACATCAAAGCAATTCGATCTGACAGAGGAGGAGAGTATACTTCGATGGCCTTTGTGAAGTAATGTGAAGAACAGGGCATAAGGAGATTCCTAACTGCACCATATTCACCTCAGCAAAATGGTGTGGCTGAAAGGAAGAATCGAACTATTTTTGACATGGTTCGATCAATGCTCAAAAGCAAGAACATGTCGAAAGAATTCTGGGCAGAAGTAGTACAATGTGTTGTTTATATTCAGAATAGATGTCCATATTCGAAGTTAGAAGACAAAACACCACAAGAAGCATGGAGTGGACAGAAGCCAACAATTTCTCATCTCAAGGTATTTGGTAGCATAGCTTATGCACATGTACCAGATCAACGAAGAACAAAGCTTGAAGACAAAAGTCAGAAGTACATATTCATTGGATATGATGAGAAGACGAAAGGGTACAAGCTCTTCAATCCCATAAGCAAGAAAGTGATCGTGAGTAGAGACGTTCGAATGAACGAAGCAAGCAAGTGGGACTGGAACAATTCGACAGAGGTTGTTGACACAGTCGAAGAAACGACTATAGCTGTACCAACAAGTATTCCAGAAGAACACGAAGAAACAGAAGATGGAGATGAACCTCTACAACCCAAAATGAGAAGTTTGCAAGATTTGTATGATTCAACAAGTGAGGTGCATCTTGTGTGTCTTCTGGCAAATGCTGAAAATATCAGTGTCGAAGAAGCGTTAAGAGATAAGAAGTGGAAAAGTGCCATGGACGAAGAAATTAGAGCAATCGAACGCAACAATACTTGGGAGTTAGTCGAATTACCAAAAGGTAGTCAACCCATTGGTGTAAAATGGGTATTCAAGAAAAAGATGAATGCTCAAGGAGAAATCGAAAGATTCAAAGCACGGCTGGTTGCGAAGGGATACAAACAGAAAGCAGAAATTGACTATGACGAAGTGTTTGCGCCTGTTGCAAGAATGGAGACAATTTGATTACTCATTTCACAAGCTGCTCAGTTCAAGTGGCCAATATTTCAAATGGATGTCAAGACAGCATTTTTGAATGGTGTGCTCGAAGAAGAAATCTATGTCGAACAACCACTTGGATATATGAGAACTGGAGAAGAGAAGAAGGTGTTGAAACTGAAGAAATCACTGTATGGGCTGAAGCAAGCACCTAGGGCATGGAACACACGTATTGACACATATTTCAAGGAGAATGGATTCGAGCAATGTCCTTATGAACCAGCCCTCTATGTGAAGAAAAATGGAAGTAATCTATTACTTGTTGCACTCTATATTGATGATCTTATGTTTCTAGGCAGTGATGTTCAGATGATCGAAGACTTCAAAAGCACCATGACAAGCGAATTCGAAATAACAGACTTAGGTCTGATGAGATTCTTTCTTGGTCTGGAGGTTCGACAAGAAGAAGCTGGAATTTTCATATCACAAGAAAAGTATGCAAAGGAAATCTTAGAAAAATATAAAATGAAGAATTGCAATCCAACTTCGACGCCAATGGAACCAGGTACAAAGCTGTCAAAGTTTGATGGAGGAGAACGGGTCGAAGGAAGCAAATATCGAAGCTTGGTAGGTAGACTTCGATATCTCACATGCACAAGGCCAAATATTTCACTAAGTGTTGGCATAGTGAGTCGATTCATGGAGGAGCCAGTACACACACATTGGAAGGCGCTGAAACGAATTCTAAGATACATCCAAGGAACAATATCACTTGGAATGTTTTATTCAAAGACAGAAGACTACAAGTTAGTTGGTTATTCTGACAGTGACTGGTGTGGAGACATAGACGATCGAAAGAGCACTGCTGGATATGTGTTTTTCATGGGAAACACAGCTTTTACTTGGCTATCGAAGAAGCAGCCTATAGTGACACTTTCGACGTGTGAAGCAGAATATGTGGCAGCATCCTGGTGCGTCTGTCATGCAGTATGGCTCAGAAGATTGATAAGCAAGATGGAGCTGAAACAGGGAGGTCCAACAATAATACAACTGGACAATAAATCAGCTATCGAATTGGCAAAGAATCCAGTGAATCATGAACGAAGCAAACATATAGGCGTTCGATTTCACTTCATTCGTGAACATGTGAAGGAGGAAAGCGTCGAATTAAGGCATGTAGCAAGCAGAAATCAAGCAGCGGATATTTTCACAAAACCACTATCAAAAGAGGTTTTCGACAGAGGAAAGAAGATGATAGGAATGCTGGATGGAAGAAGCATTTAAGTTTACAGAGGAGTTTTGTTGAATTAAACATTAAATGTGTTAGTAATAAGTTTTACATTTAAATATGGTAGTAAGAATGACAAAAGTTTAGTAAGTTATTAAGTTATAGTAGCAGTTATGTTTTAATTTATGGTTTAGAATTGTAAAAATTGTTTGGGTCTATAAAAGATCAAATAATTTATTTACTAAGAGCAATATACAAAATTTTATACATAAGTCTGATTCGTTTCTAACGGTTCATTCAATGCTCGTTGATGATGTAGCTTTTACCTTTAAACTCTTGACAATGTCATTATTAGTTCTAATCTGAACATTAAACTGCTTTACGGTTGCTATTCAATTTGTTAATCTAGAAATCTTAATAGTTTTAATAATTTATTAATGTTTTTCAACAGGAGGCTGCGTTTCCAAGGAGCAAGTATGAAGAATATATTTTGATAAACAATCACGCAGCTGTTTGGGGATCATGGTGGAACAATCACCAATGGGGCTATAAGTGCTGCATGCAGACTACATAATAACTAATGTACAGGTGCTGCTGGTATTGAAGCTGCGGAGACTGCTAATATGAAGAACTTCAGGCGACACTTCAGGCGTCTCTGTTGTTGAAAACCCGTGGGTCTGTTGCTTTTTTTGCTTGTAGTTACTAGTATTCCATAGCTTTTGGTTATGAATTTCTTAGTGAAGGAAATGTACTGCTTTCAATAGATTAGAATTTTTGTATTTTTCATGAAAATTACATATGCAAAATGAATGAAATTTGAGCGATACTATTTAGTAGTTGTGCGACATGCTTTCTGTTTACTGGTTTTGATTATAAAATCTAAAAAATCATAGTTCTTTATATGATTAAAACTAGAACATTAACTATAATATGAAAAAAAATATATAATGATTAAAAAATTACATAAAATACAACAATCATTTTAGAATAACACTACTAACAGTGTTTGAAAACTTTTGATAGATTCTATGGGTGAATTCAGTATTTATCAACATTACAATGTTGCTCGTTCTCTAGCGGGCAGCGAGATTAACTGCATCTTCTTGCTCTTGCTCTCAAGATATTTATTTTATTCTTTAGAGTTTGAGAATTATTGATAAGGAAATGGAATAGTTCTATTCCAGTCACACAGAAAAGATTGTAAGAAAACAATTACACTTCCTTATAATTGTGATTTTTAAAATTTACTGTTAGGCTGTTGTCATCAAAAAGCTTATATTATAGAGACAATTCATCATTAAGTACTAATGAAGGAGAAATTTTTAAAAATTGTATGCATTTTATTATGGCAATTGGAAGGTGTACAAAACTAGAGTTATTCACCTCCTATACATGCACACAAATTCAGAGTATGATCTGGATAATAAGGCCATACTTTATTGTTTTATTGTCAAAACTAAAGCTCTTGAGTACAGTACATCCAAAATTTATTTTATCATTATTATTTAAGACAAGATGACCCTCTCATTATTCCATTGCATTATAAGCATAACATGATCTCAATTAGATTGAGATTGAGACTGAGGGTGAACCAGAGGGCCACGGTTTCCACTGAGCTTTAACTCTGTGACTTGGCGCTGACGAAGACCAAAAGCATTTGCAAGAACATCTGCAGGAGTGGCCCTAAACACCTGCTGTACGTGGCTAACAGCAGCTCTGTCATTTGTCTTGAACACAAGATACTCTAATCCTTCTTCCTCTCCAGCTTGTTCCGCCACCACAAAGTTTTGTGGTACCACCACCAACTGTCCCTTTCTCACCTTGTTGTCGAACACTGCGTTTCCTTGGGAGTTCACAATCCTAACTCTTCCTTCTCCTCTTATCACGTACAGCAGACTGTTTGCGTTTATGTTCCAGTGTGGAGCATATATACCATTCTGCATATGCATGTTATTGATTAGTTTGTTAAAAAATCATTTATGTGAAATATAGAAATTGGTTAAATAGTTAATACTATACGTACCCTGTAAAGACGAACGTATTCGGCACTGAGGCGTAAATAGCGGAGGATTGGAAGAGTTAAACTGTTTGCGGTGCTGATACGACCGGCACGTGGGTTATAGAGGTCTGCACGTGCAGGCTGAGCAATGTTCTCATGAATCTTGAGACTACAGATGGTTTCTTCCAAACCATTCCTTCCCTGCTCACTTCTCTGCTTCTCCTCCTCTTCTTCTTCTTCTTCTTGCTGCCCCTCAGGGTTTATAATGCGGAGACCGCCCTCAACTCTCACGATTTGATTCCTTTTGTCGCGTGGAGAACGAAGTCTCTTAGCTGTATCCTCTTCGGTGTTGAATGTCTGTGCTAAAAACTCTGAACTGAAGCCACTCAAAACGCTGTTACCATCCTTTTGTTCTTCAGACTCCTCTTCTTGTTGGTGCTGTCCACCCCGACGTCCAACTGGTAAACTATGTCTTTGTTGATGTCTTTCTTGTTGCTCCTCCTGTGTTTCAGGGAACTCTACCTCCGGGTTCCCGCCAAGGTAAAAAACCTGAAAAACACATATTTACATGCGAATTGATTGAGTTTAAAGTTCTAGAACAATTTATAACAGACAATGTGATGTATAGTTACACTATTACTTACTCTTGGGGTTGAATCAAGCTGGTTTGCAATGTTGGAAGTGTCAAGAAGACTAATGGCAACAAGCGGTTCATCGCCATTGTTATATGTCCAGTATGGAATTCCCGATGGAATGGCAATGATATCACCTTTCCTGAATCGACGAATCTTCTGGTGACTGTCAGGTTGTTGCTGCCTGGATCCTTGTCTAGATTGTGACGAACGTGGCTCTTCGTAAGTCTGGGGACAACCAGGAAGTGTAAGTCCAATAACACCCTTTCCTTGGATGATGTAAATCAACTGTGGAGAGGGTGAGTAAGATGGCAAGTGGAGTCCATTAGGGTCAATGGTGCGTCTGATAAGAGACACACCGGCACATCTTAGCTCAGGGTGATTTGGATTCCATGTCTCAGTGAGACCAGCTTCGGACTCCACACGGTGGTCAGGTTCCAATGCATTGATGTTGTCTAACCGGCATTGGTTGAGTCTGTCAAACTCAGAGCTAGTTGCTAAACATGTGCTTGTAAAGAGAAGCAAGGAAAGTGAAAGCAAAGATAGAAAAGGTTTGGACATTGTGACTGTGATAGTAAACAACTAATGAAGGATTGTGAGTGAAGTGGTGAAGTGGAGAAGCTGTGGCGCGGTGATTTATAGGAAGAGGAGAACAGTGAGAGAGGAACACGTGTGACAGAATGTGTGTGACATTCTTCAGCATGCATGGCTAGGGAGTCCTAATTTGATACACATCATATGTGTGACGCTGCGCTTGTGGCCGCTTCTTTTGTTCTTCACAGATTAGTATATATCCATATTACCATACAGAGACAGAATGAATATTTGTTGGTATTCTTATATGTAGAAGGGGATGGTCCCCTACAATTCTCTAGTTCTCTTCACTGCATCGACTCTCTGCATATCTCTTTGATTCAATTAGTATAAGATTACTTACTGTCTTGAGCATATTTTAACCAACTCTATATTTACTAATACTAATAAATTGACTAAATTCTTTTCATAATTTATTTTTAAAGGCAACCTAAGTCTCTCACCTCTACAAATCTGTTTTTACTATTGGATTAGTAAATCTCATCTTTAGATCAAGTAAGACATGGTGGAACTTAGTGATTCAATGATAAAAAAATAAATTTTTATATAATACAACATTATCTTATTTGTACATAACAGACTCAAAATTTCTTGTAAGATTTCAAATTTTACTCCTTAAAATTATATGTTCAAATTCTTGTGTTGGGATGCTGTAAATAAGATGTCTAAGTTATTTTAGATGATCCTGTGTTCATCTATTTTACTAAATTATCATTTCTCATTTAAGTTTTACAACATCTTGTGTTAGGATGCTGTATAAATATAACTCAATGAAAATTGCACATACATTTTAATGTGTACGCTGACACATTAAGTTTTAGGTTTAATTCGTCCCACTAATATATGCTATGCAAACCAGATACTTCAAAAACTTTGACAGTAAATGCAGATAAATACAAACGATGTGGCCGCAAATGCGGGTAACAAATACTCTAAAACTTTTTATGGCAGACAATTCTAATTAGAACATAATTTACAACTATAGCTACAACACAATTTTCTATTCCATCAACTCATGGCTTTGAGGTTCACATGTTAAAAAACATGTGGTGGATACATAGGCAATCAAATTCAAATGTAGCTTTTGGCCTACTGTGATCAAAAGAATATACAATATCATCAAATCAAGTGGAAGGAAAGAAGGGAAAAAAAAAACCGTTTGTTACGATAGCAAGATGAACATGGGAACAGTGACTCTTGTTTTCGATCTATAATACATTTTCTTCTTCTTGAAGTTACCATTTTCAACTGTTATCCTTATCTTCCCTGGTTCACTGATATAAAAAGAGTTTCTTGTACTGTCACCAACAACATTTTGGTTTTGTAGTAATATAATGTATGACCCTTCATCATCTGGAACGAACTCTTCTTTGTATGTCACATCCCATCCAACAACAGTTATATCCCACATTATCGTCACTCCAGATTCATGGACCGGAAATTCAATTGTAGAAAGCGAATTCGCTCGGATTTTAAGCTCCAAAACCTTATCATCAGCGGTAAAATCTTGGTCATTGTTCCTCCGTAGACCACCATATTCAGCCGGAAGATGTTCCGGGGCTATGTACCTGTGATATGCCATAATGTTAACGAGAGTCATTTTAAATTTTTAGAAGTCCTATGTAGGTTAGCCGCATTTTAATTATGGCAAAACAAACATAGGCTTTATTTAAGTGTGAGTATATTTTATGAGCCTCTATTTAGTCACGGTTCATCAACCTTGACAAATTTTGTGCTTTGTACAGTAGTTTGTCTTGTACGCTCTCAAGAACAACTCTGATGTGAATAAAATAATATTTACAAAGTAAGACACTTGAGAGGTTCACGTTATGGTTTAAGGACACTCACTTGAGGAGAATTGGTGTGACCCTTGGTGGTCTTGCAAAGATGAACTTCTTTTTATTTCTTGGGTTCAGAAACATTGAGAATAGCACTTGTGATGTGTAGAACCAAAATGGCGCATTTACAACAATCTGCAAAAAGAAACAAGAAAAGACTCGAAATTAGTCTTTCTAATAATATATAAACATAAGTTGTTTTCATCGGTCGATCTAAATTTTACGTATACTAACATTTTTGTAAACGATTTCGGGATAATAGTTTTGATACAACAGAAGAGCTTTTTTGCTGATTGAGTGAAGCTCTTTCATTCCTTGAATTGGAGCATTCTTCAAATCATAAACCTGAATAATTCCATCAACTCCGCCTCTAAAACACAACCTTTTAACAGCAGTTTCCATCATTTGAATCCTCCACCTCAAAAACAACTCACACTTGTCTTGTGTTCCAAATAACTTCTTATACAAACCCTTCTCTTTGTAAACATCGTAAAGATGGTAACTAACCGGACGACCTTCCTTATCTCGACTATTCAAAAACCCGACATTTTCTAAATCAGAACCCAAATCTTCATCAAGAATCTTATCAATATTATTCTTAATCCTCCATATCATTGTCTTCTGCAACATCTCAAATGCATCATTGACTCTGAAGTCTTTCGCCTTTAAGAATTTCCTCAAAACAACATCAGTACCTTCATCTCCCTTGCTTGGTAACAAAGGAACACCCCATAGAGTTACATTTCTAAGATTTTCCTTTGTTAATGCAACTTTTTCTCCTTCACCTAGCAAATAGTTTCCGAGAATCGCATCCTGAATTTTGCATCGAAACTCCAACAACGATTTCTTTATCTTGAGCTTAATCTCAGCAGGACTCGGTCCTCCAACTCCTCCATCGCTAACTTCTCCGGCCGATTCTTGTTCTTGATCACAATCATGATCCTCTTGGTCCTTATTGTTAAGGCATTTCTGATTTTCAATAAAATCTAATGGGATATTGGTATGATCATTATAATTGTTGAACTCATTTTCATCTCTATCATTCATGGCCTCGCGATTTGTTATAGGACACCTCTTCCCTGATCGTATTTCCCGGCAATGAGTCTTTGCCGGAAAATTTGAGCATGGAAGAGGTGGAGAAGATGGAAGAGAAACAAGAAAAAGTGAGTTTAGAAGAATAAGAAAATAGTTTTGATTATGGCAACAAAAACTGAATGTTGAGTGATGATAGGTAAGTTTGTTGTATTGATAATTCTGAACCGTTAATTGAATGGCGCCAAATATAGACACAAAAGCTAATTTAATTGGTTTCATTGGCAATTCATATCCTATTGCAAACAACTGTCTTCCATGCATTATTATATATATCAAATCACATCAATATCAAATTACGTATTAATGTGTTGTATTTTCACTTTTTTTATCACTTGAAAAATGATTTGATTTGATTTGAACAAACGTTTGAAGAAAAAGTATGAAATAATGTCAACTTTGAAAGCAACCTTCAATTATTGTATTAAATGTACATGCAAAATTTTAATAAATTATAAGATTTTTTTTACAATTAAATTTTAAGATATTTGTACCCAAAAGAAAGAAAAAAAATCTTGATATTCATACTATAATAATTCCATCAAGTAAAAATATGTATGTGATTTTTTGTATTGGATTTTTTGAAGTTAAATATTTTTTTCGTCTTGTATCTTATATTCAGAGTTTATTTCGGTAACATTCAACTTTAGTGACCAATTTAGCGATAGAAAAATTTTTAATTTAATGGAATTTAAAATATGTTCCATCTTCTTTGTTGAACTCAAGATACTAAAATGTAATGCCTCAATTTGGATGAAATTATTTTAATTGATTTATTTGTGACTTTTGTATGATTTATTTAATTATTGGATAGTTTTTATTAAATAAATGAGAATTGGATGGGTGTGGGATCTAGAGGTTGAGGTGTAAAGAGTAAGTTGGAAGTGGTAGAGTTGTTCAGAATTTATTTAAAATTTTAAAATAATTAAAATAATAGTAATTTATTTGATTTTTTTTAATTTAAATGAGAAAATAGAGAATTTGGGCCAAAAATGGAAAACAAGAGAAATGGAAGGGAGGAGAGAGTGAGAGAGCATCAAGTGATGGTAGAAACTACAATATTAAATAGAGCAATACTCTAACTATTTAAGGTTAAGCGTAATCTAAGTTTAGGGGTATTTGTTAGTACGTGAAAAATTTGATTAGAGAAGCAAGAGCCTAGAGAAAGAGTTTAGAGAAAAGAAAGCTAGAAGTTGTGGAAGAGACATCAACCAAACTAGAAAATTATCAATTGTTGATAGAAAATCAATTAAGGTAGAGAACTACTTCTCTAATTGGTATATGCATGAGGGGTAGAATGAGATGTATTTAACCTCCAATAGATTTGTTAGGTTTTGATTGAATTATGTAAATTGATGATGAATTGTTGTTATGTGATGATGTTGGTGAAAAAAAGTGTGTACTATTATGTGTGAAAATTATGTTTGTGTTTGCTTTGAAACTCCTTCATTGTTGTGTTGAAAAAGTTTTGAAAATATAACTTAAAAACCTTAAAAAGTGATGATTATGTTGATGAAAATTTGTGATATATTATGAATCTGTTGCTTTAATTATTTGATAATTGTAGTATGTCGATTTCTGAAATCAGTATTTTTTACGGAGTCGAAATCGAATGGTCAAAAATAAGTTTCTTGACTATTTTTCGAGCTTGTAACCAGTTAACTACTAAGTGTAATGTTACAGCGGTGTAGCGGCAAGCAAAAAGTAAGTTATTAATTTACCGGGTGATATAGGTTATATTGTATCATGTCCACAAATATTGGTTATTAAATTGTCGTTCGATAAATTTCTCGTTAATGAGTTTGGGGATAAATGGGTTTGTAAAGAAAATATTATCAACAAAAGCAAATGTAAACAAAAGTAAAAACTAATGAAGAACTTATCAAGCCTTCATACAATCTACTCATCACAGACTTAAATCTATCAACCAGTTACATTCAACCTAATAATATTCATCAATGTCACTACGTATCACTCACAACCTAGGTCATTTCTAACCCAAATTGAAAGGTCGACTGTATCACCAAGAAAATGATCTCTCTACCTCCTCAACAACACAGAAGACAACTTATGTAATCGCAATAACGATCTCTCAGTACAGCACAACCACACAGGGCATTAAGCTCTGATACCCAAGTAGATGTCAACTCTAAATCTATCTCTAGAGTTCAGAAACTAACAGATAATCATCCTAGATAAGAATCTAAGCAGTATATGTCTATAACAGCTCAAGTCCCTAGCACAGAGCAAAAATCTAAGATAATAATCGACAAATATTTGTAAAGCAAGTTTAATATAATGCAATGAGTGACAAATATACATCCGTTCAAAGTAAATACATATACAAACTCAACACATAAAGAATACACAAAGAAGAAGAGAAATGAACAACAAATCTATCGATTTATCAGCGCCGATTGAAGAGCAATTCATCCTGGATCATCCGTATGCAAGCTTCAATGTTGTTTTCTAAGCTCTAACTATCAAAAAATGAAGGAAGATGCAGTTGGGGTCAAAAATATCCAAAACCATAACCAAAAAATGTGTGTTTACCCCTAAATACGCATTTCTGACCGTCCTGCATCGCCCGACGACTAAAATTGTATTTTTTCCACGCTTCAGGTCGCCCCAGTGTCGCCCGACGACCAAAAAGCATCGCCTGGCGACGGCTGACAGTAAGTTGAAAAACCAGCATAGTTTCAGCCATAAGTTGAGAATCGTAACTCTGATTGACGCCCGGTCGAAAACGTTGGAAAGCTTATTCAATGCTCTTTCTAAAAATGCCTAAATATCAATATTTGAATACATACAAAAATGAGATACAATCAATTAAACTCAATGATATTTACACGATAACACAATAAATACACTATAATGTAAATTATACAGAATATAGACTAAAGTTGAGGTTTATTGACAAAAAGAAAACAAATTAAGTCGATGAGTGCTAATTATTCACACTCAAATTCACAACAGTTTAGCACTCATCAAACTCTCCCCAACTTAAAATATTGTTTATCCTCAAACAAGTCCAAACAACTCAAAGAACAAAGAAACAATAATCAAAGAATCACGAATCAACTGGTTTTTAAAACGGAAAATAAATGTATGGTTCAAAATAAAAACGTACACACAAGGAAAAAACTTACCACTAAACTACAATGATAACATAAAAATGAAACAACTCCTAGATACAAAGTACATGTCAAAAATTCTAAAACAATACAATGTTCACAAGTGAATCATACCAAGCACACACTTCATCGATAGATGATAAACACAAACATGAGGTACTCAACTCTCACCCAACAATCTTACTAACAACAACTAAATTATGCATTCATCAAAGAAAATTCATATTGAAAATCACAAAAGCAAAATCACAAGGGCTTCAAGGGTTGAAACTTGGTCGGGTGAACAAACAAGGGATAATTCCTAAGACTAATCGAAACAAAAACTTTCCTAAACCTAAGGGAGTGATCAATTTACCAAAGATTCAAACACAAAATTCCAATTAAACTTGTTATGAATCCTAAATTTCACACTAAAGCACCATACTTATTCGCACATTCGAACTCTTTTTGTTTTTCTTTTTCAAAGTCTTTCTGTTTTTTTTTTCTTTCTTTTTTTATCACTTCTTTTTAACATTTTTTTCTTTTTCAAACTCATAGAAATCAACCAACAAATACACAATCATTTTTCTCCCCTACTTGAATTCAACCGTATCATTATGTGAATACTCCCTACATTCTAAGGCAGGGCAAAAATTTATACAACAACACAAAATTGAGGGCTCAATAAAAAACAAATCAAAATCCATTCAAAAAGGGAATTTGATACCCATAGACAAGCATCAAGTTCAAACAATATAGATAGTGACAAAAGGCTCAAAGGGATTACAAATGATCACACACTCACAAGGTGAAATTGACTATTTTGCTAGGTAGTTGTGCTCAAAATGAAACAAAATTCCTTGATAATATCATTCTTTCATACGAATCAACATAAATGCAAGATTAAACATAATAAAATTGAGTTAAGACAAAATTGACGGTCTCTCGTGCATATAGTAAACAATGGAAAGCAACCTCACAAGGGGTTTAGTTCTAAAGTGATTCAAAAGTTAATACATTTTGCAAAAGAATGAATGACATGAAAATTGTACAAAAGAAAAGTCTCCTAAACATGTTATGTTTTAGAAAGCGATAATTGAGTATCTGGCGTGTACCAACTTAAAAACACTATCATTATCATACATCCGGAAGTTGAAACATTCAGACTTGGAAAATCGCCTCTAAATTCCTCAAGATATCGGACCAAAATTCGAGTCCAAACAACAACAACAAAAACAAACAAATGAAAATGAAATAAACAAGTTGAAAAGTGAAGATATAAGAATTTAGAACAAGTCTAATTTCAACTTGTTTAAACAACAATCAACACACAACCTAAACTAATAAAATAGAAAATGACAAAATATACTTGTTTTACGTCATAAGCTCGACGCCTGTTATTTAAGAATGTTCCCCCAAGTTGCTTCCACCTGGTTATTCCTAACCAACACACAAGAAAACGTGAAAGGAAATAAACAATGATATAACAAATTTATAAGTATAGTAAACATATACAAGTATCAATATACACAAGTAAAAATAGACAATATATACGATATCTACAAAACTCAAAAACAAAAGAATTATCGCAATGCGAAAACAATAGAACTAATTTCCGACAACGATGCCATTTTGTTGAAGTTGTGTAGTGGCAAGCAAAAAGTAAGTTATTAATTTACTGGGTGATATAGGTTATGTCATTTTGTGTCCACAGAGATTGGTTATTGAATTATCGTTCCGCAAATCTCTCGTTAATGAATTGGGGATAAATGGGTTTGTAAAGAAAATGTTATCAACAGAAAATAAATGTAAACAAAAGTAAAAACTAAGGAAGAACTTATC